TATGATCCGGTCTGTTAAGCTGGGTTGTGTCATTTCTGGTTCTGTTCTACATGGGTTTGTATATGGGGTCTAATTCCACATGTTTGATTGCATTACAGGTTGAAAACCAGGCCTCTAAGAATTCCCATGTGTGTCTGTGGTTGGCTTGAGCCGGGATGGTCTCATTGTCCCACTTAAATTGATGACCTTCATTGTCTGAGTGCACTGAAATGATGGAAAGTTCGTTGTGTCGATTTGCTGCTAGCTGGTGTTTGTGTATCCTGATGGCTCGTCTCCTTCCAGTCTGGCCAATATAATGTTTGTTGCAGTCATTGCAAGGTATTTTGTAAACTATGTTGGTCCTGGGTATGGGGTCTTTGGTCCTTCTGAGTGTTTGTCATAGTATGGCTGTGGGTTTGTGTGCTACCATGATTCCTGGTGATCGTAGGAGTCTCGTCAGTTCCGATATATTCTTGATATAGGATAGTGTGGCCAGTGTATTGGGGCATACTGTATCCTCTTGGCATTGTCTATCTAGTAAGCACCTGTGGATGAAGTTGTTGGGATATCCGTTGTTAGCAAAAACCTTGTGTTGTTGCCCCTCCTCCTTCTTGCATAGTTCTGGTGCTTTGCAATGAGTTGTGGCTCATTTGAGTAGTGTCCTAACACAGCTTTGTTTGTGGGCATTGAGGTGATTGCTGTGAAAATTGAAGATTTGGTCAGTGTGGGTTGCCTTCGTATATACTGTGGTTTGGAACTCCCCATTGGTCATTCGTTCTACCCTGACATCTAGAAACAGAAGTTGATTGTTGTCTTCCTCTTTTCTCATAAATTTGATCCTGGTGAAAATGTTGTTGATTAGATGGTGTTTCTCTCCTAACCTCAAGAACATTAAAATCAATGACAACCAGATTATGGTATCCTTTGACATCACAGCACTATTCATGTCTATTGACATCCCATTAGCCAAACAAACACTTGCCACGTTACTGGATGCAGCTGGAACGCTGACTCCAAACAGCTCCATCAGCAAGGGCAACATACTCTGACTACTGGACCTATGCTTCACCACACACTTCATCTTTAACAGCCAAATATACAAACAAATCAATGGCACACCTACAGGGTTGCCCGTCTCAGGACTCATTGCAAAGGCAGTCATGCAAAGACTGGAATGCTGTACCCTCCCCCTCATACGGCCAGAACTGTGGATCTGATATGTGGACAACACGTTTGTCATCATTAAGCCCACCAAGTTAGGAGAGACACACTATCTCATCAACAATGTTTCCACTGGGATTGGATTTACAAGAGAAGAGGAACACAGCAATCAACTTCTGTTTCTAGATGTCAGGGTAGAACGAATGATGAATGGGGAGTTCCAAACCACAGTATATTGGAAGGCAACCCACACTGACCAAATCCTCAATTTCCACAGCAATCACCCCAACGCCCACAAACAAAGCTGTATTCGACCACTATTCAAACGGGCCACAACTCACTGCAACATGCCAGAACTACGCAAGAAGGAGGAAGAGCACCTATACAAGGTGTTGCTAACAACGGATATCCCAACAACTTCATCCACAGGTGCCTACTAGATAGACAATGCCTAGAAGACACAGTACGCCCCAATATGCTGGCCATACTACCCTAAATCAAGAACATATTAGAACAGACAATGAGACTCCTACGATCACTAGGAATCATGGTGGCACACAAACCCACAGCCACACTACAACAAACACTCACAAGGACCCAAAGACCCCATACCCATGACATGCAGGACCAACACAGTTTACAAAATACCATGCAGTGACTGCAACCAACATTACGTCGGTCAGACCGGAAAGAAACTCGCCGTCAGGATACACGACCACCAGTTAGCAACAAAACAATATGACGAACATTCCCTCATCTCAGTGCACTCAGACAATGAAGGCCATCAATTTAAGTGGGACAACGTGACCATTCTAGCTCAAGCCAACCACAGACATGCATGGGAATCCCTAGAGGCCTGGTTTTCAACCCATAATGCAATCAACAAAAGTGCGGAATTAGACCCCATATACAAATCCATGCAGAACAGAACCAGAAATGACACAACCCAACTTAACAGACCGGATCATATAAATTCCAAGTGGAGTAGAACAACATTGCTTCGTTGGAGGCCGCACTGATGATGTTATCTAGCATGGTGACGAAACCTCTGTAGTATAACCAGCCAGCTTGGCGAGCAAGCCAACAACCTCACTCGTCCTACTTTCCACCACTTGGCTGATAGCCTTAAATGTTATGACATTGAAGTACTCATGCAAGTACTTTTTAAAGATTGTGAGATTTCTCACCTCAACTTCCCTTTGAAACAGTGCATTCCAGATTCCAACTGTCCTCTGGGTGAAAATTCTAAACCTCAAGTCCTCTCTAAACCTCCTGCAGTTCGTCTTAAAATTAGGCCCCTTGCTAATGACTATTCGCCAAAAGGAGCAGCTGCTTTCTCTTCATTCTGTGCATGCCCCTCATAATCTTATACACATCGATCAGGATTCCCTCAACCTTCTTTGCTGTAAAGAAAATAAAGTCAGAAGTCACACGACACCAGGTTATAGTCCAACAGGTTTATTTGAAATCACAAGCTTCTGGAACTCTGCACCTGACGAAGGAGGAGGGCTCTAAAAGCTTGTGATTTCAAACGAACCTGTTGGACTATAACCTGGTGGTGTGTGACTTCTGACTTTGTCCACCCCAGTCCAAAACTGGCACCTCCACATCATGGCTACTAAAGAAAACAACCTGAGCGTATCCAGCCTCTCTTCAGAGATAAACAGCTCCACCCCAGGCAACTGTTCAGAACAGGTTCACCAGGATGATCCTCAATATGGAAAATTGTCTTATGAGCAAACCCTTCGGGACTCACTGGAATTTAGAAGAATGAGAGATAATCTCATTGAAACATATAGGATTCTTAAAGGGTTTAATTGGGTAAGAAAGGATGTTTCCCCTCATGAGAGTGTTTAGGACCAGAAGGCATATAAAGCTGTGCCAATTTAAGACTGAGATGAGGAAGAGTTTCTTTTCAGAGGTTTAGTTTATTCGTTTACGGGATGAGGGCGTCACTGGCTAGCTTTTGTTCCCCAGATTTAACCCCATTGCCCAGAGGACAAATAAGAGACAACCACATTGCTGTGGTTCTGGAGTCACATGTAGGCCAGACCAGGTAAGGATGGCAGTATCCTTTCCTAAAGGACATTAGTGAACCAGATGGGTTTTTCTGACAATTGACAATGATTTCATGGTCATCGTTATACACTTAATTCCAGATTTTTAATGAATTCATATTAGAACATAGAACAGTACAGCACAGTACAGGCCCTTCGGCCCACGATGTTGTGCCGAACTTTTACCCTAATCCTAAGGTCTATCTAACCTCCATCCCTACCTTATACTATCATCCATATGCCTATCTAATAGCCACATAAATGCCCCTAATGAGGCCGACTCCACTACCCTCTCCGGCAATGCATTCCACGCCCCGACCACACTCTGAGTAAAGAACCTACCTCTGACGTCTCCACTATATCTATCTCCACTCACTTTAAAACTATGGTCCCTTGTAATAGCTACCTCCACCCTAGGAAAAAGTCTCTGGCTGTCCACTCTATCTATACCTCTGATCATTTTGTACACCTCTACCAAGTCACATATTCTACTATATGCTGTGGTGGGATTCGAACCCAGGTCTGCAGAACATTATCTGGGCCTCCGGATTAACAGTCCAGCAATAATACCACAGGCCGTCACCTCTCCTTAAGAGTCTTTGATTGTGACTTTTTGGAACTCCTTGCCACGGAGAGCTATGGAGGCAGAGTCCTTGTGTATCTTTAAGGCTGAGAAAGATAAATCCTTGAGCAGTAGAGCAATCAGGAGTTATGGCAAAAAAGCAGGAAAGTGGACATGAGGAATGTTGGATTAGCCATGGCCCTGTTGAATTGCAGAGCAGGCTCGAGGGACTGAACCGCCTATTCCTGTCCCTATTTCTTTTGGTCCTAATATCCTGGTGAATCTCCTCTGCAGCCTGTCCAGTGGAATTACATTCTTCCTATACTGTAGTGACCAGAACTGCACACCGTGCAATACTAAAAGTGGTCAGAAATCCTAATAAATCTGAGGATTGGGAAGTTCTTAGAAAATAGCAAAGGACTAAGAAACTGATCAGAAAAGGAAGAAGAGAATACGAATGCAATACAGCAAAAAAACATAAGAACAGCCTGTAAGATCTTCTGTGGATATAAAAAGAAAACCTTTAGCAAAGACTAATGTAGGTTCATTGAAAGGAGAGTCGGGAGAATTTATGTAAAAGAATGGAGAAACGGCAGAGAAGCTAATTGATTACTTTGTATCTCCCATAATTGGCGCTCCAAGTGACAAGGGAGAATGAGAAGTTTTACTGGGGAAATTAATGGGGCTGAAAGTCGACAAGTCCCCAATACCCCGGCAACGGTTCCTGCACGTTGGAGGCTTGCAAATGTCACCCTACTATTTAAGAAAAAAGCAAGGAAGATAACAGGGAAGCCATAATAAATGATGGAGCTTGCTGAAAGGGCCAAACGGCCTATTCCTGCTCCTATTTTCAATGTTTTTATGACTTGTGAAGGGGCATTTGTTATTAATGCACTGCACATGGTATACACTTCTGCCTTTTCTGCAAGAAACTAAGGCTAACACCCAGATCCTCGATCCTCCATCTTCACCCTGAGCTGGGGCCATCGTGGGTGGGCATTGGGAGCAAGTGTGGTCTTAAGTGCTATTAGGTATAAGAGTATCAGCCAGAGTTCCAGCTCAGTGAAGCTTACACATGGAAAACACCTCACATTTGTCAAAACTTGAAAGAATTTGTCATTTAAAAATCGTATTCAGATTATAATCTTTTCTCCAAATTGCTTTATCTCATTATAACAGAAACGAGAGAAAAAAGAGGCTTTGCTGCTCTTCTACAATCGTACAGCGGAGGCCAAAGTCAGATCAATTGTGTGAGTAACGTGGTGTTTGTCTCATTATCAGCCTACCGTCCCCAAAGGTCTGTCCATAATACAGCTTCCCAGGAGTCAATTCCATTGCTAATGGTCCTGTTATCTTTACACCGCCAGTGCCACTCTAGAGGGTTTAAACTAGTGTGGCAGGAGGCTAGGGAACCAGAGTTGTAGGACAGCATGCATAATAATTGAGGAGAAGGTCGCAGTCAGGTCAAGTCAAGTAAGTCTAATAAGAAGAATAGCAGGGCCAGGTTAATGAACATGGTGGGACTGGCAGTCTGAAGTTTATTTGTTTTAATGCAAAGAATATAACAGGTAAGGGAGATGTGCTTAGAGCCTGGATTAGTACATGGAACTACAATATTGTAGCCATTATAAAAACTTGATTGAGAGAAGGACTGGCAGTTGAATGTTCCGGAGGTTAGATGTTTCAGGCATGATAGAGAGGGATGTAAATGAGATGGGTGAATTGCATTACTAATTCAGAAGAAGTGTTGTGACAAAGAGAGGACACCTTGGAGGACTCATCCAGTGAGGCCATATGAGTAGAAGTTAGGAATAAGAAAGGTGCAGTCATTCTGAGGCTATACTGTAGGCCACCCAAGAGCCAGAGGAAGATAGAAAATGATCATGGAAAGATGGAAAGACAACAGGGATATTGTAATGGGTGACTTTAACTTACCCAATATTGACTGGGATTCCCTTTCTGCCAGGGGCTTAGATGTGGCAGAATTTGGTAGGTACATCCTGGAGTGTTAGAACATAGAACATTACAACGCAGTACAGGGCCTTCGCCCCTCGATGTTGCGCCGACCTGTGAAACCAATCTGAAGCCCATCTAACCTAAACTATTCCATTATCATCCATATATTTATCCAATGACCATTTAAATGCCCTTAAAGTTGGCGAGTCTACTACTTTTGCAGGCAGGGCATTCCACGTTTTAAGATACTTGTGGATAAAGATAAGATTAGGCCTTGGGTGAAAATGCTAAATTGGAGAGACCAATTACAGGATTAGGTAAGAATTGCAGAAATTAAATTGAGATGGCTGTTTGAAGGTAAATCCACATCCGAATGGATTGTAGCTGTTGAAGAAGGTAGCTCACCACACTTTTTCAAGGGCAACTGGGAACAAGCAATAAATGCAGGCCAGCCAGCGACGCCCACACCCCACAAATGAATAAAATGTCAGAATTTTTAAAGGCCAGTTTTTAAGAGTTCAAGGTGAACATGTTGCTGTGAGGATGAAAGATAAGGATTTTGAGATTCAGAAATCATAGAATCGCTACAGTGTGGATACAGGCCCTTCGGCCCAACGAGTCCACACCGAACCTTGGAGCATCCCACCCAGACCCATCCTGCATAACCCACCTAATCTAGACATTCCTGAACACTACAGGCAATTTAGCATGGCCAATCCACCCTAACCTGCACATCTTTGGACTGTGGAAGGAAACCAGAGCACCCGGAGGAAACCCACGCAGACACGGGAGAACGTGAAAACTCTACATAGACAGTCACCCGAGGGCGGAATTGAACACGGGTCCCTGGCGCTGTGAGGAAGCAGTGCTAACCACTGAGCCACCGTGCCACTCATTCCTGGATAACAAGAGATATTGAAAGTTTTTAGTCAAATAGCAAAAGGAAGCATATGTAAGGTTTGGGAAACTGAAATCAGACAAGGCCCTTGAAAAATATAAAGTAAGCAGAAAATCACTTAACCGCGAAATTAGGAGGGCTAAAAGAGGCCACTAAATGTCCTTAGCAAGTAGGATTAGGGAGAATTCCAAGGCATTTTATACATATATTAGGAGCAAGAGGGTAGTTAGGGTAAAGGTAGGTCCACTCAAGAACAAAGTAGGGAATTTATACATCGAGCCAGCAAAGGTAGGTGAGGTCCTTAATGAGTACTTTTTATCAGTTTTCACCAAGGAGAAGAACATGGGTGATGGTAAGATTAGGGAGTAGTATGTTGATGTTCTAGCAATGTTGATATTAAGAAAGAGGAGGTGTTGGTGACTTGAAAAACATTAAGGTAGATAGGTTGCCAAAGTCTGAAGGAATCTATCCCAGGATACTGAAGGAGGCAAGGGAGGAGAATGCTGGGACCTTGACAGAGATCTTTGTATCCTCTTTAGACACTTTGAAGTCCCAGAAGATTGGGGAATCATGAATGTTTTGCCTTTGTTTAAGAAGGGCAACAGGGACAATCCAGGAATTTATGAGCCGGTAAACCTAACATCAACAGTAGGGAAATTGTTGGAGTAGATTCTTAGGGACATGATTTACTTGCATTTGAAAAGAACGGACTTATTAGGGATAGTCAGCATGACTTTATGCAGAGGAGATCTCACGAATTTAGTTGAGTTTTTTGAGGAAGTGATGAAGTTAGGGGAGTGGATGTAGTCTACATGGATTTTACTAAAGCATTTAACAAGGTCCCTCATGTTAGGCTGATCCAGAAAATTAAGTCAAATGGGATCCTAGGTGAGTTGGATACAAAATTGGCATGTTCATTAAAAGGCAGAGGGTAGTTGTGGAGGGGTGTTTTTCTGATTGGGGGTCCGTAACCAGTGGTGTTCTGCAAGGATCAGTACTGGGATCTCTGTTGTTTGTAATAAAAATTATTTGGATGAAGCTATAAGCAGTCTGATAATTAAGTTTACAGACGACACAAGAACTGGTGGTGCTGTGGATAGTGAGGAAGGTTGTCAAAGGAGACAGCAGGACATTGATCAGTTGGAAGGTTGTGTAGGGAAATGGCAGATGGAGTTTAATCTGGACAGTGTGAAGTGATACATTTTGGGGGGTCAAATACAAGAAGGAAGTACACAGTAAAACATAGTAAGTACACAGCAGGGTCCTTAGGAGCATTGATATGCGGAGTGATTTTTGGACTGCAAGTCGGTAGGGGCGGTAGTGGAGAAGATACGATAGAGACTTTTAAAGGGCATCTTGACAAATACATGAATAGGATAGGAATAGAGGGATAAGGTCCCCGGAAGAGAAGGGGGTTTTAGTTGTGACAGGCAGCATGTCGGTGCAGGATTGGAGGGCCAAAGGGCCTGTTCCTGTGCTGTATTTTCTTTGTTCTTTGTTCTATAGCTCCCTGAAAAGGGCAAGACAAATGGATAAGGTGGTAAAGAAGGTGTATGGCATCGGTCAAGCCATTCAGTACAAAAGTTGGCAAATCATCTTGCAGCTGTGTAAAGTGTTAGTTGGACCTCATTTGGAGTATTGTGTGCAGTTCTGGTTGCTGCCCTATAGGAAGGATGTGACAGCTTTGGAGAGCATGCAAAAGAGGTTTACCAGGATGTTGCGTGTATTGGAGTGTATTAGTATGAGAGGTTGGACAAACTTGGATTGTTTTTGTGAGAGCGTAAGAAGAGGCTGAGGGGCAACCTGACAGAAGTGTATAAAATTATGAGATGCATGGATAGGGTGAATAGTTGGAGTCTTTTTCTCAGGATGGATGGGGGCATAGGTTTAAGGTGAGAGGGGAAAGTTTAAAGGAGATGTGTGAAGCAGGTTTTTTAACACAGAGGGTGGTACGTATCTGGAATGTGCTGTTAGGATAGGTGGTAGAAGCAGATACGATAGCAGTGTTTAAGAGGCATGTAGACAGACAGGTGAACAGACACAGGATAGAGGGATACGGACCATGAGCAAGTAGATGGGATTAGTTTAGAATGGCAACATGGTCGGTGCATATGTGGTGGGCCAAAAGGCCTGTTGTTGCGCTGTACTATGTTCTATGATTACCTGCTACACCTGTGTGTTCACTGTCTGTGTTTCATGTAGAAGTACATCCAAGTCCCTTTGTGATGCAACATTCTGCAGTTTTTCTCAATTTAAATCATACTTTGTTCTTTTTTCTCTCTTCCAAAATGAACAACTTTGCATTTTTGCACTGTATAATCCATTTCCAAACATTTTGCCCACTTATTTAATCTATTATTATCTCTTTCTAAACTGTTTGTATACCTCTTGCAGCTTGGCTTTCCACCTATTTTTGTGTCATCTGCAAATTTGGCTGCAGTACATTTGTCCCAAGTTGCAGTCTGAGCACTGATCCCTGTGGAACCCACTGATCACGAGTTGCCGACCTAACAAACAACCCCTTATCCCCATTCAGTCTTTTTTGCCCATTTGCCAATTTTCTATTGTTACCTGTTTTTGGATTCTGGAAGAATTACATTTCTGATTATAATCTTTCAATACTGATGAATATTTATTTTAAGAATCAATTCTGGATCACCGTATAATAGTGAGTACAATATCATAGAGGATGTGCTAAGTATAGGTATTTATAGCATACAATTCACCTGTAAATTTAGACACCGTCTTCAAATCTGCGTTAGGAAATAAAACTTGGATATTCAAACAAATATGTTAAGAAGATACTATCAGACCGATATAGTTTCCTCAGAGAATGAGGTATCTTTGTATCAAATTTTCTTAATGATAGACGACTTCTTTTGTCTGGACCTCAAGGATGGATAGGCTGGGACTTCACTGGAGCATCGGAGGTTGAGGAGTGACCTTATAGAGATTTATGAGTTCATGAGGGGCATGGATAAGGTGAATAGCAAAGGTCTTATAGAATAGGGGTGTTCAAAACCACAGGGCATATTTTTAAGGTGAGTGGGGAAAGATTTAAAAATGACCTGAGGGGCAACTTTTTCACACACTTGGTTGTTCATATATGGAATGAACTGCCAGAGGAAGTGGTGGATGCAGGTACAGTTGCGACATTTAAAAGCTATTTGGACAAGTACATGAATAGGAAAGGTTTAAAGGGACATGGGCTAAATGCAGGAAAGTGGGACTAGTTTAGTTTGGGAAACTTGGTCGGCTTGGACGAGTTGGACCGAAGGGTTTGTTTCCATGATGTATGACTGTGACTATATGTGTGTGCACTTTCTATTTCATTCTAGCTGTAAGAATTTCTCCGTGTCTGTGTAGCCCAACAAAGCAGCCTTTTATTGTTGGTAAATCTCATGAAAGACCGAATTCTTGATGGATCATAACCCCTTTGACAAACAGTCCAATTTATAGGTTGTTTATTCACTCAGAGTTGTGAACCTGTGGAATTCTCTACCACAGAAAGCTGTGGGGGCCAGTTCATTAGCTATATTCAAGAGAGAGCTGGACCTGGCCCTTGCGGCTAAAGGGATCAAGGAGTATGGGGAGGAAGTGAGAGTGGGATACTGAAACTGCATGATCAGCCATGATCATAGTAAATGGTGGTGGAGGATCAAAGGGCTGAATGGCCTACTGTACCGATTTTCCATGTTTCTACTTCCCTTTATCTGCAGTTCTGAAAGCTTGCTCCTGGCAAACTTTCAAATTCTCGTTCTCTTTGGTTCCAATTTAAATTTCACACTTTAATTGCTGGATTAATTTACTGTAGTGATCTCCTTAAAACTATAATCTCAGTCCCTGGGGGTCCATCCTGTAATCCTGTGTCCTCCCTGGGAGTCTGTTTCATATCTTTGTAATTGCCCTTCCCGGTCCACAACTTTTTCTCCATGGCATCTCCCTCCTCTTCCTATTCCCACCTTGTGGTCTCATCTCACAAGGACCGCAAGGGTCTGTCCTCTCAACCTGCTTCTCCTTCACTTCCTACCTCATTCCACAGTTCATCCATACGTCAGCACCTCTCTCCCCAGGGCATTTCCTGTAATCTTCTTTGCTGGTAAAGCTTTTTAATTTTCCTTTTTATTTCAGGGAATACGTGAAGGATCTGCTGGAGAGTGGCAGAGAAAAGTTCCTGGTGTTTGGGCATCACCGGCTGGTTCTAGATGCGTTATGTGAGACTCTAGAAGAGAAGGTAACGTTTTTGGGATTAGAGTTCCAATGGACTGAAGGATAGCTAATGTAACCCCACCCTTTTAAAAAGGAGGCAGAGAGAAAATGGGGAATTATAGGTTAGCCTGGCTTTGTTGGTGGGGAAAATGCTGGAGTCAATTGTTAAGGATGTAATAACTGAGCATTTGGAAAGCAGTGACAGAATCAGCCCTAGTCAGTACGGATGCACTAAAGGGAAATCATGCTTGATAAATCTTCTGGAATGTTTTGTGGATGTGACCAGTAGAGTGGACAAGGGTGAATCAGTAGCTGAGATAGTAGGAACTGCAGATGCTGGAGAATCTGAGATACCAAGGTGTAGAGCTGGATGAACACAGCAGGCCAAGCAGCATCAGAGGAGCAGGGTCTAGGCCCGAAACGTCAGCTTTCCTGCTCCTCCAATGCTGTTTGGCCTGCAGTGTTCATCCAGCTGTACACCTCGTTATTTCATACATCAGTGGTGGCTAGGTAAGAAGGCTGTTAAAAAGCACGTGAATCCTTGGCTTTATTATTAAAGGAATAGGACACAAGGTTAGTCCAAATCTTTCTAAGTCACTTAGCCTTAGATTTTGGTATTTCATCCGGCTTTGGAGTCCACACTGTAACGATAGTGTGTGGACTGCCCTCATGCTGTGAAGCCAAGTGTGAATAATGTAACGATTGATTTTGTTCACAGAAAGTTAAATTTATCCGTATTGATGGCTCCACTTCCTCCTCCGATCGCCAGTCCCTGTGTGACCAGTTCCAGTTCTCTGAGCAACGCTGTGTAGCTGTGCTGTCTATCACAGCTGCCAATATGGGCTTGACTTTATCCTCTGCTGATCTGGTCGTCATTGCTGAACTTTTCTGGAACCCTGGGGTAAGTGAGAATCCTGTTTTGCAATTTTTAAACATAGTTTAATGTGATTAGTTTCCTTTTACATTTGTATTCCATTAGTGTTTGCTTTTGGCTGCAGTGAAGGATAATAGTGTGAAAGAGTCTTTAATCATGTTAAACAATGAGGTACGCTAAAGTGGAAACAAATAGCAACGTTTAATATAAGATAACAAGGTGTAGAGCAGGATGAACACAGCAGGCCAAGCAACATCAGAGGAACAGGAAAGCTGATGTTTCGCGTCTGGACCCTTCTTCAGAAAATTTAATATCAGAGCCATTTCGCTTAAGATATGCTGCTCAAGTGGGCATGGTTTTCCACTGGGTGCTCCATTGTCCTCCCACAGTCCAAAGATGTGCAAGTTATGTGGATTGGCGTTGCTGAATTACCCGTAGTATTCAGGGATATGTAGATTAGGTGCATTAGCTATGGGAAATGCAGGATTAAAGGGATAGGGTAGAAGAATGGGTCTGGGTGGGATGCTGTTCAGTGGGTTGGTGTGCACCTGTTGGACCAAATGGCCTGTTTCCACGCTGTGGGGATTCCATTCTATTCTAAGTCTCTGGAGTGGAAGTTAAAGACACAAATTTTCAAAAGTGACTTTTGAAGGAAATGACACTGAGTATGACGAGAAACATTCTGTTGAATGGGTTGTATTCTGAACATTGTCTAGTTTCACTACCTGGGGTTGGGTATGTCCCAACTGCGTAGTTGTTTGATTTTAGATGTGGTGTTCAACTGATATGTTGCCCTCTCCTTTTCTGACTCTGCAGATCCTGTTTCAAGCTGAAGATCGAGTTCATCGCATAGGGCAGTTAAACTGTGTGGATATTCATTACTTGGTTGCTCGAGGCACTGCTGATGATTATCTCTGGTGAGGAAAGTGGACTGTGTACAGTTCATATGACACAGAGATAGAGATTTCCCAGCTGCATCAACACATTTAGTTGTGAAGCCAAGGTCTTTTTCCTAGGATAGGGGAGTTCAAAACTAGAGGACATAGTTTTAAGGCAAGAGGGTAAAGATTTTAAAAGAACTTGAGGGGTAATTTTTTCATGCAAAGGGTGGTGCGTGCATAGAATGAGCTGCCAGAAGAAGTGGTGGAGGTGGGTACAATTACAAAATTTGAAAGGTTAGAAGTGACACGATACCAGGTTATAGTCCAACAGGTTTATTTGAAATCACAAGCTTTTGGAGCACTGCTCCGTCATCAGGTGAAGTGAAGGGAAGCACACAGGGACAGAATTTATAGACAGAGGGATCAAAAGATAGTACAAGTGGTGTGAGTGGAGTGTCAACAGGATGAAAAAAAGTCTCTGCAGGTGATCAAAGGTATCAGAGTAAGTAAAGTGTCAACAGCTGAATAGCAAGTGAAGGGATGACCTATAATCCGATTAATTGAAGCAGACAGATAATTACAAAAATTTATAAATAAGGTGGTGCAGGTGACACACCAAATGGCTGGAATAACATAATAGGTGTAAGAGTCACATGCCGAGGGTCTAACCAAAGTAATAAGTAATCTAAAACTGCACAAACTAATTAAGGTAGAGAGATCATAACAAGTTATCAAGGTGATGGTGTCATTACTGCGGAAGTAGTAATGCAAAGATTAGAATGGACAGCGCTCCCCACTATACAACCCAAACTCTGGGTCCAATATGTAGATGACACCTTCGTGATTATTAAACACACAAATCTAGAAGAAACCCACTGACACGTAAACAACATCCTTACCGGGATAAAATTCACAAAAGAAGAAGAGAACAACAACCGACTACCCTTCCTAGACATAGTGGTAGAACGCAAAAACAACAAGGAACTCCAGACTAGCGTATATAGAAAGACCACACATACTGACCAGACACTCAATTATACTAGCAACCACCCCAACGCCCATAAACGGAGCTGCATCAGGACAATGTTTAAACGAGCCACAACACGTTGCAGCAACCCAGAACTATACAAAGCAGAACAGGAGCACCAATACACAGTCTTCAAAAGGAATGGATACTCGAAAAGCACAATCCGCCATTACCCCCGAGACAGACCACAACAGGAAGACACAACATGACCAGACTCACTAATCACCCTACTGTACATCAGGGATGTTTCAGAGATGACCACAAGACTACTCAGACCCCTAGGTATCAGAGTAGCCCACAAACTAACAACTACTCTCCAACAGCTACTGACGAATGTAAAGGATCCCATACCCAAAACCAGCAAAACTGGGGTAATATACAAAATATCACACAAGGACTGTGAGAAACAATACATAGGCCAAACTGGAAGGAAACTGACAATACGGAGACACAAACACCAACTAGCCACCAAGAGACACGACCAATTCTCACTTATCCTACTACACACTGACAATGAGGGACACGAATTAGACTGGGACAACGCATTGATAATTGCACAAGCCAAACAGAGACATGCCAGGGAATTCCTGGAGGCCTAGTATTCCAACCAGAACTCCAGCAACAAACACATTGAATTAGACCCTGTGTACAAACCACTGAGAAACAAACTGAGGCATATAAATAACAAGCGGTACAGAACACCAACGCTTTTTGGAAGGTCGAATTTGAATGCAGAATACACGGTTAACGGCAGGATTCGCGGCAATGTGGAGGAACAGAGGGATTTTGGGGTCCACGTCTATAGATCCCTCAAAGTTGCGACCCAAGTTTATAGGGTTGTAAAGAAGGCATATGGTGTATTGGCTTTCATTGGCAGGGGAATTGAGTTTAAGAGCTGTGAGATTATGCTGCAGCTCTATAAAACTCTGGTTAGACCACAGTTGGAATATTGTGTTCAGTTCTGGTCTCCTCATTACAGGAAAAATGTGGAGGCTTTAGAGAGGGTGCAGAGGAGATTTACCAGGATGCTGCCTGGACTGGAGGGCAGGTCTTATGAGGAAAGGTTGAGGGAGCTAGGGCTTTTTTCATTGGAGCAAAGAAGGATGAGAGGTGACTTGATAAAGGTTTACAGGATGATGAGAGGCATAGATAGAGTGGATAGTCAGAGACTTTTTACCAGGGTGGAAATGACTATTACAAGGGGGCATAATTTTAAGGTGATTGGAGGAAGGTATAGGGGAGATGTTAGAGGTAGGTTCTTCACCAGAGAGTGGTGGGCATGTGGAATGCGCTGCCGGCAGTGGTAGTGGAGTCAGATACTTTAGAGACTTTTAAGTGACTCTTGGATAGGCACATGGAGGATAGTAAAATGCAGGGTAAGATTGACCTTAGTGGGATAATAGGTCGGCACAGCATCGTGGGCCAAAGGGCCTGTACTGTGCTGTATTGTTCTACGTTCTATGTTCTTCACCAGAGGCACACTGACAATGTTACTTAGCAGGGTGATGAAATGTTTGCAACCAAACCCACCTGCTCAGCGAGCAAGTCTACAACCTCATGGTGAATGCTGTGTTTAGGCCATCAGGCCGTAGGCTCCCGAGGCAGAATATGAGGTGTTGTTCCTTCAGTTTGCACATGGCATCATTGTGGCACAGGAGGAGGCCCAGGATGGACATGTCACCCAGGGAGTGGGAGTGGGAGGGGGAGTTAAAATGGTTAGCAACGGGAAGTTGTTATTGATTATAGCATACGGAGGGCAAGTGCTCGGCAAATCCGTCACGAAGTCTACATTTGATCTCACCGATGTAGAGGAGGCCACATCGGGAGCAACGGATACAGTCGACCAGGTTAGAGGATGTGTAGGTAAACCCCTGTTGGATTTGGAACGTTTAACTTGGGCCTTGGATGGAGGTGGGAGGGGAGGTGTGGGGTATGTGCAGCACCTCCTGCAGTTGCAGGGAAAGGTGCCGGGTGTGGTGGGGTTGGTGGGGAGTGTGGAGTGGACGAGGGAGTCGCGGAGTGAGCAGACCCTATGAAAGGCAGATAGGGTTGGGGAGGGAAATATCTCTTTGGTGGTGAGGTCGGCTTGTAGATGGCGGAAGTGGTGGAAGATGATGTGCTGGATGTGGAGGTTCGCGGGGTGGTGTGAGGACCAGGGGAACTCTGTCTTTATTTTTGTTGGGGGGAGGGGGCTTGAGGGCAGAAGTGCAGGAAATGCAAGAGATGTGGTTGAAGGCATTTTCAATCAATGGAGGGGGGAAGATGGGAGGAGATGAGGCGGAGGAATTGAGAGTATGGGATTACGTTCTTGCAGGAGGGTCGGTGCGAGAAGTTGTAGTCAAGGAAGCTGTGGGTGTCAATGAGTTTGAAATAGATGTTGGTGCTGAGACGGTTACCGGACATGGAGACAGAGAGGTCCAGGAAGGGGAGGGAGGTATTGGAGATGGTCAAGGTGAATTTGAGGTTGGGATGAAAGGTGTTGGTAAAGTGGGTGAACTGTTCAAGCTCCTCATGGGAGTATCTGTCATGTGTGTGATGGGTGGTGTTCCAACTTGTGATGGTAGAGTCCAAGTCAATGATCTGGCATGTCTTGCAGAGGTTGTCATGGGAGAGTTGTGTGGTGTTGTGGTCAAAGAACAAAGAAAATTACAGCACAGGAACAGGCCCTTTGGCCCTCCAAGCCTGTGCCGATCCAGATCCTCTATCTAAACCTGTCGCCTATTTTCCAAGGATCTGTATCCCTCTGCTCCCTGCCTATTCATGTATCTGTCTAGATACATCTTAAATGATGCTATCGTGCCCGCCTCTATCCCCTCCACTGGCAACGCGTTCCAGGCACCCACCACCCACTACGTAAAGAACTTTCCACGCATATCTCCCTTAGTGATCATTGTGGTCCTGAAGGCTGGGTAGTTTGCTGTGAACATGATCTGTTTAAGGTTTGGCGATTGTTTGAAAGGCAAGACATGAAGGCATAGGGATGACCTTGGTGAGATGTTTGTCGTCATTGAAATCATGTTGAAGGCTGCGAAGAACATGGCGTAGTCTCTCCGCTCCAGGGAAGTAATGGATGATGAAGGGTACTCTATCAGTCGTGTCCTGTGACTGTCTTCTGAGGAGGTTGTTTCGGTTTTTGCTGTGGAGCTGGTGATCAATGAGTTGAGCATCGTATCCCGTTCTCATGGTGCGGAATCACTGAAATGACTACATGACGATATCAACAAGTTTCATCCCACCATCAAACTTACCATGCACTACTCTTCAGAATCAGTCTTATTCTTGAGGACACGCATCTCCATCAAGGACGGACACCTGATTACCTCACTCTACAGCAAACCCACAGATAACTTCACAATGCTGCACTTCAACTTCACAATGCTGCACTTCTCTAGTTCAACCTTAAATATGTTAAAGAAGCCATCCCCTACAGACAAGCCCTGTATATATACAGGATCTGCTCAGACAAGGAGAAACGCGACGTTAAAATGCTGAAAGATGCCCTCATAAGAATGGGATATGATGCTCAACTCATTGATTGCCAGTTCCAACGTGCCACAGCAAAAAACCACAATGACCTCCTCAGAAGACAGACTCAGGACACGACTGATAGACAGTACCCTTCGTAGTCCTGTACTTCTCCTGTAATCTTCAATAAATGATCCAGTTCCTTCTTGAATACCTCGATTACACCTGCCTCCATCATACTGTCAGGAAGTGAACTGGCTGGGTAGCTCTTTCAGGAGCCAGTACAGACACAGTGGGTCGAATGGCTGCCTCCTGTACTATAAAATTCTATGATTCCAAGTGCTTTCCATATGCTAACCACTCACTTACGAAAAATGTTTTTCCTGATGTTGCCATTGCTTCTTTGGCCATTTAACTTAAATCTGTGCCCTCTGGTTCTTAAGCTTTCCATCAGTGGAAATCGTTTCTCCTTATCCACTCTGTCCAGATCCAGATTTTTGACATCTCAATCACCTGTCAGCCTTCTCTGCCCAGAATGGGACACAATTTTCTCTTGGTCCAGAGATAGTAGGAACTGCAGATGCTGGAAAATCTGAGATAACAAGGTGTAGAGCTGGATGAACACAGCAGGCCGA